TTCTCCTTCCTGCTCTTTGGGGAACGACTGGCTTTGCCTGAAGAGCTTGTCGAGTGTGTGCAGTTTTCTTCTCTGCTGCTGTCTTTGGAGCTTTTCTCTGTCACGGCACCTGTATAAGTTGCAACAGTGTTTTTGCCGTCAGTTGTTGCTGTCAGTTTGGTTCCAGAATACAACTGTCTATCCTGTGGTGACTTTGACCTCTTCTTTGGAGATGGAGGTGGTCTCCGAACAGCTGGACGGGGTTTCTCTACTGTGGAGGACAAAGGGTAGATCTCAGGTTGTCCACTTTTTAAATCCTGAGACGGAAGATGTAAATCTACTGGTTCTGCACTTTTGTCACTTTTGAGTTCGTTGAAATTTCTTGACTTCCTGGTATGTGAAGCTGCGTCATCCCAGAATTCCAGCAGGGAGTGGAACTGTGTCCTGCTGGAGCTCAGATTCGGAGATTTCTTCTCCGGGTTTTGGTTTACAGGAGCTCCGTCTCCCTCATCACTGTCTACACTCTGTCCAACTGATCTCAGATCATACTCCGACTTTGAGAATCTTTGACCAGATTTTTTCAGATTTCTATTGACAGCAGGAGCTTTGGGCTGAAAGAACGTGGTTTGGTTCTTCTCCTGCTCCCAGAATGATTTGAGTTGCCTGATCCTCTCTGCTGTGCTCTCCTGTGGAGGTGAACCTTGTCTGCTGGAGCCCCGGCTACTCCCTCTCCTTCTACTGGACGCCTCTTTTTTCCTCTTTGGTGACCTGCTTGGATGTCGATTTGTGTTCTCCTTCTCTTTCTTCGTTATGTCGTCACTGGAGTCGTGGTGGCGTTGGGGTTTAGAGGGCGTATGAAGGTCATGTCCACCTTGATTAAAGTCCACGTAGGACCCTTTCCTGATCTCTGGGACTGAAATATCCACCTGTGGTTGGACATGCGTGTCTTGTGGAGAGAAGAACACCAATTCAGTTTGAGTTTCACACAGTGAAATTTCAGGTGATTTGACTGAAGAACCTGGTTTTGACCCCTTGTCCATCGTAACAGAGAAGACCTCAGTGTCTGACTCCTGTCTTTCAGCAGTTGGGTGGTAGGACTGCAGCACTGAACCATCTGCTGAGGAAGCTGAGTCCTTGGTTGGTTCAGATGAACATTTGGTTAACGGGACGTCCACGTGACGGCTCTGGGTGAAAAAGAGATTCTCTCTCAGTGGACCGATGAGCAGACTTTGGTCTGGTTTGTCTCCAAACTTTGGTTTTTCATCTTCAAAAACTCCTTTGTAGACTTCAGGTGTTCCTGCTGTAACATGAACATTGTTTTGTCCCTCCACCTTTGACGTCTTCAGTTTTGTGACAGGGATACTTCCTACCGTGTTGGTCTTCTCCCAGAAGGATTTCAGATCAGAGAGATCTGCTGTTTGTGTTTCATCATCCTCTTCACCCATGTCTTTGATAGGTTCTTCTGTTGGTTCCTCAATGCCTGTTCTGTCTGATGAACTAAACTCATGACTGTGTCTCCTCACAACACGCTCTTTCCTTCCCTCTTTAAAACTCATCTGGTCTTCAACCGTGTCTGTCTTCAGGTCTTCAGGTCTGTCAGATTTCCTCCTGGCCCTCATATCATTTTTTTCAGGTTCTTCAGTTTCTTCCTCACTGGCTGTTCTGTCTGAAGGTGTGAATTCCTGAATGCATCTACTGGGGTTCATTTCATCCTTTCTGTCTGTCAGAGTCAGTAGTTCTATTTTGTTCCTCTTTTCAGCCCTCTGTGTTCTGATGTCTTCATGTCTTTCAGAGCTCTTGGTTGACTTCACAACCTCTTCTTCATCATCCAGAGCATCAATGCTGTCAATGCTACGGCTAAACCAATCCAGAACCTTGGCAATGGACTCCTCATCACTGGTGGGACTGGTTGCCTGAGTGGACAACCTGAACGAATGGCCTGGCTCGCTTTGTTGCTCTGTGGTATCAATGAAATTCAGATCGTAGGAGATGGGAGGCTCTGGATCTGGAGAGAACGTCATGAGAAGTTTGAATCAAATCAAACTCTGTGTAAAAAAAGGCCATGGTTTATTTGAACTCTTTTGAATTCTTCATGTAGGATCAATACGGTCCATCTATTAATATCTGTCTGTCTGTCTGTGATGGTGTGTTCACTGTCATTCCACAGCTTCAACTTTTGCCAGAAAATAAACCCAGGACAATGAGGGCCGAGCTGAGTCAGCTCTCTAAACAAATCAAGACAGTGCGCTGCTCAACTTACCCACAATGCTTTGTGCAAGACTCAGGTCATTTGGTATAGTTGAGGTGCTTCTATCTTGGCACCCTCTGTCTGAAAAGAGAAAATTGTGAGATTAAAAAAAGACAGTTTTCAGTCTAGTGTCTTCTCTGAAGGTGTGATCTATTTCCTTCTCTGGAGCTTCACCATCTTCTCTGAAGATCTGTTCCTTTTCCTTCTTCTCTGGAGCTTCACCATCTTCTCTGAAGATCTGTTCTTTTTCCTTCTTCTCCAGAACTTTATCATCGACTGTGACAAAAGAGGAACTAAAACAGGAGTTGGAATTAAATTCTGATTTAACCCTTTAATTCTAATGTTTGGCACACAGTTTGAGAAGTTCGTCTTCTCACCTTTCTCTGGTGGTGGACATGGAACGTTTCTCTCGGTCCGTACTGGAGATAGACGACTGCTGAGAAAGGTCACCTTCAGGTTGATAGCACGCTTCCTCTGCAGAGCTCATCTGCTCCTCTCTTTGGTCAAAACCCAGACCTTTGCTCTTCTGAACTCCTCCATCCTTCCTCCAGGAACAGGATTGGTTGGAACCTCCACTGGACCCTGAAGTGCGCTGAAGGCCTTGTCTTGTAGAAGGGAGGATCTCTGCTGGTTTGACCTGAGGTTCTTTAGTCTCTGATCCACAGGAGGATTGTCTGGAGACAAATGTTCTCTTTTTTGGCACTGGTTTGAATCCCACAGAGGAGCTTTCTGAGATGATGGAACTGCCAGATGTCTGACTGGAGCCATTGTTGTTCCTCACTCTGGATACAGGATCTAAGGGAGGAACACAAGGGAAAACAAGGAGTTGTGTCACTGTTTATCCTTCAGTCGGAAATGAAGGATAAAAAGTCCGGGCGTTCAGTCACAATGACTTCACCCTCTGTCTGAGGGGAATGAAGAAAACCTTTTCTTCTGAAACTCAATGTCACATTTATTCCATTCAATGTATTAGTTGAATTCCTAGTGTACTGTGCCTTTAGTCCATTTTAATCTAATTCATCACTGCTGGTCTACATGTACAGTGACAAATAAAGTCTGTTGTCACAAGAGTTCAAGACTCATGTGGGGTCTTTTCAAAATAAAAGTCCTTGTAAAGTGTTTTTAAAAAGGTGAAAAGGTCACAGAGGAAACAGAAGAGGAGCCTTAAGCTTCAGAATAAAAGTCAGCTCAATCTACAGTTCGATCACCTCAGCTGACAAACCCTGTGTGGAGAAAATGTGCTGTTCACTGTCAGGGTCACTTTGACCTTTACGACCTTCACTGCATTCACTGTTTAGTTCTTTGGTATTAGTAAGGTGAAGGTTCTAGTCCTGGTCTATAAAACTCTGTCAGTTCAGTCCTCTGATTCACACCTGTGTGGGTGGAGTCCAGGTCCAGACCCCTGGTACCCTGGTACTGATGGTTGTTGGGGTGCTCAGCTGGTTCCCCCTGCAGGGCTGGAGCTCTGTCGAAAGGATTGTGTCTCGGCTGGAAGAAAAGGTCCCAGAATTAAAGTTTCACAGCTTCACACCTGAGAGAAGAACCAGACTGAGACTGAGACCAAACCCAGGTCAGGACTCAGACTCAAAGCCAGAGGTTCAAAATCACTAGAATCAGACTTACTGCTCTGGGAGAGTGGAGCAGGGAGTTCAGGGTCTGCTGCTCAGCATCACTGTGACAAAGACGGACAGGATCAGAACAAACCAAAGATGTGGCTTCAGTGACATCACTGATGGTGAGTGGTTTTTGGTTAGTTGTTATTAATTAATTAAGTTGTTAGTCATCAATTTTAGGAAAGTTGTTATTGAAATTCTTACTTCTGTGCTGACAGTTTAATAAATGGTTTTCACTTTTTTCTTATGGTGTTTACTCACAGTCACAAGATACTGTGCATGCACGCACACACACACACACACCGGGGTCAAACTGCATGTCGGCCTCATGTTTTGGGCTGATGTTTTCCTACCAAAAATACCTCGTGTTCATACTTTGACTTTTTAAAAAAAAACAAAAAACTTTTCTTTCTGTGAAACGAAAGCTCTTCAAGTTCAAGCTCGTCTGACGGGAGAAACCTTTAGGAAACTTGAAATCTTTGTCTCTCACTATCACAGAGAAGTGGACATCTGTCCCTTTGTCCATCCGTCTGATCATTTACTAAACAAGTTCAGGTTTGTCCCAGGTTTGTCCCAGACTCCCTCTAATGTCCATGGGAAATCAAAAGAACAGAGGACCGACCTCTGCTGCTCCTGCTGCAGGGCCTCCAGACATCGGGCAGGTTTGGGAGGAGGGCCCAGGTCTGGAGCTGCCTCTGAACTGAGGGCTGTCAAGGACTTCTCACTTCTCTCAGAGCCTTCTGCAGAAGAAACAATGTTTATAATAACCAAATAAAATGTCTTTTATTTTTTCATTAACATTTACACAGGCTAATGCGTGGATAAATGTTGTCATCATCCTTTACCCTACAACCCAACAACATTAACGCTGTTCCCTGAACAGTCGACCGGTCGGTCACAGATCCAGACAAACATCTGTTCACATTCACACCTAATGTCAGATCAGAGTGAACAGCATAGATCCTCATCATCAGTCTTCATGAACAAGTTCCACATACTCCACCAGTGTGAAACTGGCTGTAGGACGATGCAACATTTGGCCACAAGTCGGTGCTAGCGTTCAAAGTCATCAGCACTTGTACTTTTCTTGTTTAGATTTCTATACTCTATGTTTTGATTGGACAAAAAACCTGTATTTGAAGTCAACTCTTAGTCAGTAATATTTTGTGGTTGTATTGTTGCCAACCGTTACCTCTGCTCCTCTGTTTGATGGAGGCCAGAATGATCTCTGAGCCGTGGATCTTGTCCGTGTGTCTGCGACTCTTGGCTTCGTAGAACCACTCCCCACTCAGGAATTTTAGTGTGTTTTCCGACTCTGACTCGCTGCTTAGGTTTTTCTCCAGTTTCCTGTCAATAAAAAAGAAAAAAGAACATAAAAATAATACAAAATTCTTAATTTCTTTATTTATCTTTAGCACTTAATCCTTCTCATAGGGTCAGGGGTCAGACCCATTCACACCCTCATTCACACCTCGGGTCAGTTTAGAGTGAACATTAACCTCATCCCCAGCTTCAACCTCTTTACACTGCGAAACACATGAGACTACTGTCTCTGGTTCAAATATCTGGTATCTTCACTACAACACTCATGTTTTCTCACTTCAACATCAACCAAAGAAGAATCCTGTGTGTATCTGTAAAAAAGATCCGACCGTGTCAGATTCTAACTGAAGTTATTTTTTGTCTTTTACTCTGAGCTGGAAACACCAAGAGTCTGAGTTAAATTTGATCCTCGTGATCGTCATCACTGCAGCAGCCAATGTTAACCTGATCACTGAAGCCAGGCTTTAATCTGATCAGTCACAGCGACTGTTGTTTGTTCCACTTTAGTCCTGAAGAATCTCAGTTGCTTCTCATCAACAGCCTCGGCTTCACCGTGTCAGACAACACAAACGTGGACAGAATGAGTCACGACCTGGTTTAGTCGGTTCCTGGTTCTTGTCCTAGTACCTGATTCTCTCCTCCTCCGCCCTCTTCAGCTCAGCGTCTCGTCTCAGCACAGCCATGATGGCTCCCTGCTCCTCCTCCGTCAGGTGACTCAGGTCAATCATCGTCTTTAATCTGTACAGAAGAAGATAAGGAAGGTGAAGATGATGAAGGTGGAGAAAATGATGGAGGAGAAGAGAGAGAGAGAGAGAGAGTGATGGTGGAGAAGATGGTGAAGGTGGAGATGACAGGATGAATTTACCAGAATTAGACCAGAATTACCAGAATTTCCTAACATTTTCAGAAATTATTTACATTTTTTGTCTTTTCTTTCAATCTTTTCAACCTTTTATCTTTCACTCAACTATGTGAGCAGTTCGTCTTCACACACTTCTGGCCATTTTTAGTAGTTTTCTTTTATAGCTACATGTTTTCTTGAGCTACATTTATCCCATCAAGTTCTTCAGCTGTGAAGTAAATTTGCTCACATATAGTTTGATTTCTGCACCTTTTCTGCTTTTTGTGGCTGTTTTTTTTCTCCAATGTGTTCTGTCACATGAAGCTCAGAGTTTTCTTCTCTGTCTGTGGTTTCCGTCTGTGTCCACAATGTGTATTTAAATGCTGCCGTTAGATGTTTATTCAACAAACTGGTTTCTGATCCAACAGAAGGTTATGGAGCAACTGACAAAACAAAGGCTCCTGTCGAATTATTATCTGTTCCTTAAAGCAGTAAAAGGATTAAAAAAATTCCAATAAAGCAAATAACATTGTAAATATGAGAGCAGTGTTCAGTTACAGTCAAAGTGTTTTTTTTGGTTTGTAGTTTCCTGTGTGACTCACCTGACAGCAGCAACCTCAGACTTGTGCTTATTTGATTTTAAAATCTTCTGCTTTAACAGCAACTCCCATCAGCCTGCAGAGGTGGAGGAGCCTCAGCCTGGAACTTCTGCTGCAGCTTCTGTGGATCAGTGGATCTGTCGCCTCAGCTCAGGATGTGATGGGTGGAGTCTGAGTGCAGAAGTGGGAGGGGTCTAGAAAAATGAGTGACACGTGTTTTTCATTTGAAGTGAATTCATGTGAGCAGCAGTAGCAGGTGGAAACCACCAGGAAGAGTCTCCACAAACTCCGGTGTTGGTCTCTGTTTGTTAAGAGGGCGTTGAACTTGATTCTAACCTCCAGCGATAAAACTCAAGTTGTGCTTACAATACAGGAGAGAAGAGACAAAAAAAGACCATGAAAAAATAGTTCAGACAAAAAGATTAATGACAACTAAATAACAGAAAAAAGTGAACAGCTTACAAAAAAAGTCTGACAAAATGGAACGCATTCAAAACAAAAAGTGAAAAAATAAAGTAAAAAATTTGTAAAGATAAACTTGGACTTTGCTACAAGTCTTAAACCATATATTTACTCCATCACAGAAAAAAGAAAACTACAGAGTAATACAAGACAAAACATAAAAATCCAAGACCGGTTCTGTAACAGTTGACACAAGTTCTACTGCACCTGAGGTCATTGCTCTTTAGTGGTTGATTTTATAACAGCAGGAAAAGATGCAGATTTTTGTGGAAGCTGATTTTTATTTGTAAAAACAATAAAACATTTCTTTCTGATAGTTTTCTAATAACACACCAAAAATGTGACAATAATAAAAAAAATCAGGAAATAAATTTATAAAAAAAAAAACTCAATAAAAAGTTGTGATTTTAGAATTGTTTTCATTTTTCAAACCTCTTTTCACATTCCCTATTTTAAAAACCACTAAGTACAGGATGTAGGCACCGATCAACAGCGCCACCTTTAGTCTTGATCTCACAGCAACTCTTTCTCCTGGATCCCTCATAATTATTTATTATTTTATCTAATTCTTGACTGTTTATTCAGCACTGATCTGTTAACCTACCAACAGACTTTAATGGCTAACAGTAGTAACGTCAATGGAAGCTAATACGATCAGACTGACACTAGCTAATATGTGAACAGTGAACAGATGCTGACTAGCTATAAGACTTTAGCCAGCTAACAAAGGCTAATCAGTTGACAGATGATAACAAATGCTAAACGAGACAAAAAAGATAACAAGCTAGCAGATACTGGTAAAATATTTGATACTATTCACTGACAGTCAGATGTGTAAAGACGTAGAAACATGAAAACAACTCCTTAACACTCACAAAAAAGCATTAAAAGAGGGACACAGATGAATTAAAGCTAATTAATCAGCATTCACTTCATTAGGTACACCTCCTCTCTTTAAGTGGGTTTAAAGAGAAAACATTTTCTTTGACACAATGTCACCAAGTCAATTGAGAAAGAGCTAAAAGTTGTTGTTGTCTGAAAACAATAGCCAAACTGTGTGTAGCCCAAACAACTTAGCCAGCCAGTACCACAAAAGCTTTGGGCTAGAAAGGTTAGCATAAAAAAGGTAAAAAAACTTCACCCAGAGGTTAGCAGAGAAATGTAACTAAAAACAGCTAGACAGACGTTAGCCAAAAACATACAGAGAAATGTAACTAAAAACAGCTAGAAATTAGACAGACGTTAGCCAAAAACATGCTCACATTTAGACTCAGAGATATGACTAACGATAAACCAAACATAAGACGAGAGATAAAAAAGGCTGAGAAATGATTCAACAACATATGTGGGCAGTGAGCTGTCAGGGAGGTGTGTGTGTGTGTGTGTGTGTGTGTGTGTGCGGGGGGTGTACCTAATATTGTGGTGCATGAGAATGAGGAACAAATAAATAAAAAATAAATAAACAAAGGCTTAAATTTAAAACTGAGCAACGTTGGACTTTTAAAAAAATGTAAATGAATGAATATTTCACGTTAGTTTCATTTACACCAGTGGAATCATGACCTCTGACCTACATCAGCTTGACATCATGGTCTTCAACATTATTACCATCATTAACATTGACATGTTTCAGTGTGTTGGAAGAAAATAGTATAAATAAATACCAAGTCCAGACGCAAATGTCTCCACTCACATCAGGTCATTAGCCACGCCTTTAGAACTGAAGCAGATGACAGTTAGACTACATGAGAGGAGAAGACGTGAGAGGACAGAATCTCACTTCATCATCATCATTCTTTTTCCTGATCACCATCATCTTCACCAACATCCCTTTCATTATCTACAGCATCATCACTACAATCATCATCATCATCATCATCTGTTTTTTTTATTTTATTTTCTAACAAACTCATAAAAAATTTGAACAAATCTTTTGATTTTTTTCATCCTTTCTGCTCCTTACAGTAGGTCAGATCAACCACATCTGCAGAAGAAAGAAGAAAAAAGAGTGGAAGAGAAGAATCGTACAAGAAGAGAGTTTGTAAAGAAACAAAAAAGTAAATATGTTTGAAAATTAGATGGAGAAGAAAAAAAAGACAAAAAGTCTGGAAAGTTATTCTAGAAGATTACCCAGCAACAGGATGTACCTAAAGACATGAAGACCTACAGGAAGTCCTTCAGAGACAGATGAGCAAACGGATCCTGAGCAGGAGCTCGAAGAGGACTCTGGGTAGACGGACTAGAGGCCGCTGAGGGCTGAGACAGGAAACAGGAAGTGAGAGACATGAAAAAGACAAGATTAAGGGACAGAAAGAGGAAGAGATGAAAGATCAAGCTGGAGGACAAACAGAGTGTCAGACAGTGATGTCACACAGCTGAGGGGCCCCACCCACCTGAGAACCTGACCCGGGACCAAACGGGTTCTGAGGTCTGATGACGGGCTGGGAGCTGTACATCAGAGCGGGAGGTGCCATGACGGGGCCCATGGCGGATCCCATCTGTGGGGGCTGAAGATGGCTACTGTTAGCTACACACCCTCATCTCTATTCAACAACAACAGCTCAGGTCAGAGGTCAAGATAGAAAACCCATCCAGTATTTTCCCCTTAATGTATGCAGGGTCACAGGGCTAATCCCAACGGTCAACAGGATTATACCTTGGACAGTTGACCAGTCCATCACAGAGCAGCACACAGAGACAAAGAACCATTCACACTCACATTCTCACCTGTGCGTCTGATTGACCTAAGGATGGAAATTCTATCTAGAAATATTTTTTTTAATTTAAAGTGAACTATTGAGTTACAAGACAATTCATGCAGGAGCAACTGCAGTTATTCTTAAACCCCAGAATAAGGCCTTACAGTTAGCCACGTACATAGCAATAGAGACAACACCAGGGCTTCAAAAGTTAGAAAACACACAGAGCTCCTCCTAGTGGTAGAAATAAATCATTTGCAGAGGACATGCACAGACCATTTTCTACATTGAATTTTGTCACGTGGTTAATAAAAGACTGACCAGAGTGTATCCCATCATGCCTGTGGGTGTGGTGGCAGGAAAGGCCATGACTGACGGATGCTGAGCAGAGGACAAAAAAAAAGACACAACCATCAGGATTCTAGAACTGACCGGAGTTCATCAGTGATATGAGTTCTACAAGAACAGCGCACCATAGACACGGGGTTCCAGGTGGAACCGGCTGCTGCTCTGGGCTGCCAGTTAGATCCTCCGGTCATTCTCTTCTCGCCCGGTTGATTCCACTGGACCTCACTGCAGACACAGAACCAAAACTCAGTGTACGACAGTACAAAAGCTAATGTTTGCATCAAGAAGTTAGGTTCGAGACTTACTTTTTCATCGTGCCATTTCCAATGCCCAGATCTGAGACAGGGAAACAGAAAATAATAATGTCAGTGTTGGTGCTAATCTTTTTCTAATGTTTTTTTTTAACCTCCTTTAAGTAAAGGGTTACCAGTGACAAGTAAAACAGAACGCTACATAAAGAAATCTTTAGTATTTTCCAGAGAGGAATGTTTGACTTGAAACGACTGAGTTGACATTCGACATGCTGTGAAAACCACAATTAATGTATAACCAATGGCTTTTTTAGCTTACGCTAATGATTCGGTAGCTGAACGTATGTGTGCCTAACGAACCACAAACAATAAATGGAAACACTTCCATGGAGTCTTCTAGAATCTTCATGGATACTTTAACACATGTCTGACTTATTTAACATTTCAACAATTATTTCTGACAAACCTTGAACATTAACTGGGCTAAATGCTAGTAGTATGCTAAACTCGGATTATAGTAATTAGTCTGTCACTCCTATCTCTAACCTCAGTCTCTATGATGATCAAATCCTCATCCATAATCTTAATCTCTATCTATCCAATACGTACCTCCAATCAAACAACAGTAAATCCATACGTCATTGGAGTCATATTTGACTCTCAGGCTTAAAAAACGTTCTGAAAACAGGTTTGATTTTTTTTTTTGTCTTCAACTCACTGCCCACAAGGTTAGCCAGGGAAGAGTCCAGGTCGTCTGACACCAGCTTCCCTGGCTGCTGACTGGTGGACGGACAAGACCCGGCCACGGTGGGCTTAAGGATTCCTGCAGTGGCCTCTGAGAAGACGAAGACACACACACGCACACACACACACACGTACAGTGAGTAGTTAGCCTTTACGACTGTGAAAAGAAAATGTGTAGGTACATCAACATTTGGGTGTCCTGTCTTTGGCTAACTCTGTTAGCTGTCTCCTGCTAATGTTTCAATTTAGTTTTTGACAATCTTTCCTCTTTTCTGCTCTGTGGTTCCAACTCTGTGTGGTGAACAGTTTCTTTACAATTGAACACTTTTTTTTGTTTAGTCATTTTGACCTTTCGACACAGACTGATCTTTTTTATGGTTCTCACCGTCGACGTTGCTGCTGTTTCCTCCTGCAGCGTTGGTTCCAAAGACAGACTCAAAATCCACCTGCAGTCCACTGCCTGATGGCTGCGCTGCAGAGTACCCTTCACAGGAAAAGGAGACAAGGGTACACATGCAAACTTTTTCACACATCAATACTTTGATGAGTAATAAACATCAAGACTCAGTTCAACCTGCAACAGTCAAGGTCCTTGAAAAACCTGGAATTGCAATGAATTTTGTCCTCATTTAATTAAAAGACAACCTTGACATAAGATCACTGTTAGCTCTTAATGAACAGGAAGTTAGAGTGGGGGTCGCAGGGGTCAACTGCAACAGCAGAAGTTCACCTGTGAAGAGAGCTGCTCCAGCAGGAGGTTCAGAAGAGAAGGGAGGAAGGTTCTGGACCTCAGAGGATGGAGCACAGAAGGAACCTGAGACACATCAGGGAGACGGAGGAGGAAGAAGATGAAGAGGAGAAGAAGAGAACAAAGAGGAGGAGACAGGTCAGAGGTCATCTTCTGTTTCAAAACATCTTTACACAGGAATGGTCTTTAGACTGGACTGAGGACTGGTCTGGACTATTGACTGGATCCTGGACCATGGATTAGACTGGGAACTGATATCTAGACTGGTCAGAAATGAGTCAGAATAGACAATAAAAAAAAACAGAGTGAAGGAGACAAAAAAAGGAGAGTTACCAGCAAACATCCTGGACGAGAAGCTGCTCACGTCTGCAGTTGCCTGAGAAGATTCCACTGACAGTCGGGACAGGAAGGGGTTGAGGTTTGTCCCAGAGTCTTCTCCAGTCTCAGCTGAGGAGAAGGGATCTAGAAGAACATGGAAGAGGACAAAGATACAAGAGTGTCATGGAAGAGCATAAAGGAAAACGGTTAAAAAACAGTAGAACATGGAGATCTATGCAAGAACATTATGGAACAAAGAG